ACTATAAAATCGACTCTAAATTTATTAAAAATATTGTCAAATTACATTTTTGTGTTTTATTTTGTTGTTTTGGTTCGTGGAATCGTGGTAATTTGAATTTGAAGCTATGATATCTTTTTATTTTAATTAAATATAGAAAAATGACTATTCGTGGATCTTTAATTTGAACATATTAGTTGACTTGATTGAGTAGCTTTTTGAACTCTACTTTAGAGCCTGTTTGAGAGCGATTTTTTGACCGTTAGAAAAAAAGTGGGATTCACTTGTGAGAGAAGAAGTCAAATATGACGTTTGGAATAGTGAAATAACGGTCAAAAAATCAATTTTTTTGGTGAAAAAATTGGGCTCAAACAGGCTCTTATTATTGATTTAAATTTTTAATTTCAAAGATTTTATAATAAATTTTAAATTCATGTTTGTAAATAATAGTTCTTTTAATAAATTAAATAAATGTAAATTATACTAGATTCCAAAAATAAGCATGTAATAAAAAAAAGGTCAAACTAGCTATTGAAAAGAAGAAAAAGATCAATGAATTACATAACTAGAAAATTTGTCTTTCATTCTAATGATTATTAGATCATTATCATTATCATGTGGTTGAATTTCAACAAAAGAGAGTAAAATAGAATTTGGACGAATTCTACTTATTATATCTTTTGTACTTTTTTTTTTCCCCTCATTATTCTCAAAAGCAATAAATGGAGAATAAAAGTGCTTGCCGAGTGGAAGAAAAGTATATTTGGCAAACTTTTTAGGTACGGAAATTTATGCCTTTACTTAGAACTTATTTGGCTACGCTTAAGAACAAATCTTTGTTACTTTCAAACATTTTAAAGCGTCGAAAGTTATATATTTTGAAAGTAACTAGTCTTACTCGATAACTTATTAATTTTCAGTTTTGATTGATAAAGGAATTACTTAACCCTTGTTTGAGCCCCATTACGAAGACAAATTTTGGTAAAATATATCATGAAATAGTATTTTTTTTAGAGAATGTGTTATTAAAAACGAAAGATTTTTTTTTGATTTATGTATAATATTATTTTATTAAAAATATGTGATTGAAAATAAGATAGAGAAAAATGTATTAAAATTTTAAAGAGTTTCAAACAAGGGCTTATTTAAAAAATCAAAAAATGTAATTATAAGTAAATTTAAATATACGTAAAATTAAGTCCATGCTTGTCTACCATTATTTCAATTTATTTTTTTTCAAATTTATTTTCAACTACATTATCATAATAAAATATTTTGCTCGTAAATTCAATTTTTTTCTATATTTAAATCACATTTTTCAAAAATTCACTATTCAATAACTCATTTTCAACAAATAATAGTAGACAAACAAGGTTTAGGTGTACGTGGAGTGGTTATCTATGTCATTTTGGTTATGGTAATTTAGTAAGAATTTTTATATTGTTACAACATTTATTTTTGTTACAATACTTCAGAAAAAGGGTTAATTGCACCAAATGTTCAAAATTTTTGTTTATCGTCGCACTTATGTTCTCAACATTTTTTTCCTTCGTATTTTTATTCCTATCCTTTCATTTAATTAGTACATTTTGTCTATGACGGGGATTACAATTCAAATGTTCGTTAGGATGATGCAAAACAGAAGAAAAAGGGAAACCAAAATTCTTCGCTCTCTATATAAGCACCTACAAATATCAAGACTAAGTGCTAATTGTTAGAAATTTGAGTATGAGAATACGATAAAATAAATTGTAAAATAAAAATTCCAAGTGACGTGGACGTCAGTACTCAAAATTTGTCCGCATTAACCTAACATAATTACAAAAATAACCTTTAGACATTTATTTATCTCTTGCATGTCCCCTAATTTCATGCCTATTTATTCATCCTCTTCGTTTTGCTTGTCTGTTAATCATCTTCTCCACCAGAAGAAACTCCTATACACACACAGAAAAAGAGAGAAATGGGTTCTCTGGCTCATCTTGTGGAAGATTGTCTAGGTATAATCCAAGTTTACAGCGATGGCTCCATTTTCCGGTCCGAGGTATTATCGATCAATTTTGTTAAGATGAGTAGTCAAAACTTGAGTATTATTTTCATGTTTAATCGAAGTGTGATTTTACGATTAACAGGTAACAAATTTTCCCATTAAAGTCCAAGACGACGGCTCTGCAATATGGAAAGATTGTCTATATGATGAGAAACACAATCTTTTTCTCCGCCTCTACAAGCCGCGGTCTACTTCTAGTCCCACCGCAGCCGCCAAACTCCCAATTCTTTACTTCTTCCACGGAGGCGGCTTCTGTCTTGGTTCACGCACATGGCCCAACTGTCATAATAGCTGCCTCCGCCTCTCTTCAGCACTACCAGCGGTGGTTATCTCAGCAGACTATCGCCTGGCGCCGGAGCACCGCCTCCCGGCAGCCATGGATGATGCAATGAATGCAGTTAAATGGCTCCAAACTCAGGCTTTATTGAACGGTGCTGATCCATGGTTATCTGATGAGGTTGATTTTGACCGGGTTTTCTTATTGGGAGACTCCTCAGGGGGAAACCTAGCTCACCATTTGGCGGTTAAGCTAGGACCAGGGTCGCCGAAGTTGAGCCCGGTAAGGGTTAGGGGCTATGTGCTAATGGCACCATTTTTTGGTGGTACTGAGAAAACCAAATCGGAAGTAGAGGGTCCGCCGGAACCCTACCTTAACTTGGAGGTTCTTGACAGGTAAGGAATTTAAGTTTAAGTTTAATTTTTGTTTTACGTCCAAATTTTGCATTGCATGGGTTACAAATATTCCTTTTGATTTCATGCATTTGATTTGGATGATCATCAAGGATTGCATATGGATTAAAATACACGATTATACTATAATATCCGACTTTTCTTTTTTTGCTGTTCCACTTGGAACAGGTGGAGTTGTGCTCTACCAAAACGAAATTTCTATTCATTGCAAAATGGAAGTCCGATAATTTTCGCATAATTCCTTGTGTATAATAAATATTTATAGCATATGTTTTCCTTAGTAAACACACTCTTTTAGGTCATTTTTTGGACCGTATATGTATGCACTTGTTTTAATCATGGTCCAATGAATATAAGCACCATACCTAATTAAAAAGCGAAAAATTTATGTGATTATAATTTTGAATCGTACATTAATCAACTCAAAATTAATAATTGGATCTTGATTCTTTTTAATGAAAATGACTTAAATAATAATGATAGAGATTGCTAAAAGTGTTAGTGGGATTAAGACAAGAGATGGAGTGTGGGAGTTGAACATAATTCTTGCACACATGCAATGCCTCAATCTATCTCTGTGTGGTTGGTTTTGAAAAGATTAATATTGTTGGCCCTTTGAATGTGGACTTAGTCTTAAAATTGAGGAATATCTATGAATCCACTAATAGCCACAATCCCAAGATTGGCTTTTCTATCTTATCTAACAGCCACCCCTTTCTCATGGGAGGTGGACCTAACCGACCTATGATTTTATGGAATATACCTTGGAAAGTTGTTTGGACCCTCTCTAGGTGTTTATCATATTATGTAGAAGTGGTTGTCACAATCCTAACAATTTTAAAATTTGTATACGAAATAATATACATTTAGGGGTGTTTGAAAACCATTTTTATGTAAACAAGTATTTTAGAATAGTAATTTGATGGGAAGTGTGTGGTTGAAAAATAAAAATTTTTTTTTTATTTACGTGTAATATTATTTTAATAAAGAATACGTGGTTAAAAAGAAGAGAGAGAAAAATGCATTTTGAAAAAAAGGGTACCAAATGGGGGCTTAGTATATTGGACTGAACTTTATAAATTAAGGACGAATTGTGTAATAAAGTTGTAATTTTAGAACTTAGTCATATTTAGTTTGCGTACAAAATACATCATGTGAGTAGTAAAATATATTGCACCTTGTTAATACGTGATTTATACCTTAGTTTTTATTTTTATTTTACTTTACTACTTGAAAAGATAGTTAGGGACTCTTTGGCGTGCTTTTGAAAAGTTAGAAGTGATTTTTGAGACTAAAAAATTGCTTTTGATTTAAATTAGATCATTGAAGTCATTGGAAAAACTTTCGTTTCAAGTTGGTCAATCCGTCCATACATGTTAATTAATTTCACCGGTGACAAAGTTGGCGTGACAACCTAATTGAAAAATAGCTAATTTGTTCTGTTAGTCAAATTAACAAACATGGTCGGAACAATGAGTTCAAACCGAATTTGTTCAAGAGTTAATTCAAAACAAAATAAAGTTTAGTAATCAACGGAAAAACTTAATCGAGTATGTAATGATGGCCAATGTATTTGACCCTTCTTTTTTCAGAAAATTAATAATTTTTAATATGCAGAAGTGAAATGTGAATAATCTTAATCAAATTGCAAAATATATTCAAATTCAGGCATGATTGTAATGTCACATTTCTTTAAAATTTGATTTTATCAAAAATAGTCTCAAACATTAGCAATTATCAATATTTGGGAATATGCATGCTTGATTTGATCATGTATTGTACCCTTTTCAGAAGATCTAGTAGGGTCGAAAATCATCTCAAAACGGGTAATCTATGTGGAATACACCTTTTAATTCCCATTATAATAAAATAATTTCAAGTTCTTCCATTGTTAGATAGTGGCTTGTCATTATAAAAGATGACTCCTATTCATGTACCATAAACAATATTGGCCGTAAGTCAAAATCAAAATTATTTTTTTATTAAACATATTGATCGATAGGATTATTAATGGGATTAAATTTGGATAAGTGTTACCTAACATTATAAGTAAGAATATGTTTTATATATTAAAGTATGACAAGTTTTAGGTGACAAGATGTTACACTCACTATCTATGTGCTCTTTGAACCTTAAGCACTCGTCACAATTGTCTCATCCAATCTCGATTTTTGTTTGATCAAAGAGTTGTTGTAGAAGGATTACTTATAATTGTCTAATCGAAGACCTTTATGTATAATTATACTGTGTATCAAACGTACAATTATGTACCATAGTTTCTAATTTTCTCCCAATTAACAGATTTTGGAGGCTATCAATACCAGCTGGAGACACTGCGGACCATCCCCTGGCAAACCCATTTGGGCCTTATAGCCCAAAACTTGAATCAATAATGCTTGACCCAATATTGGTGTTGGTAGGAGAACGTGAAGTGATGAAGGACAGAATTGAGGACTATGCAAAAAGACTTGAAGAAATAGGAAAGAAAATTAAATATGTTGAATACCAAGGAAAACAACATGGTTTCTTCACAAATGACCCTTTCTCAGAACTGGCAAACAAAGTGTTGGAAGAAATAAAACATTTCATGTCTGAAAACTCCAAGTAAAAATGATGCCAACAATATGTGGGGTATCTAGACGTGCTCTATGCGTATGCTTGTGTTAGCTAGAAGCGTATGTGGGGAAGAAATTTAGAGATATTTGTCAAAGTAGAATGCCTATTATTGTTAGATGAAGTGTGTACAAGAATTATGACTTTAAACCTCATTTATAAATTATTATGGATATAAGTGCATTACGGTTCAACAACACGAGGCCTAGCCTAAACCATATCCTCCCGAATACGATCCACAAAGACAGCCTCGACCACACACTTCAAGGTGGTACTGGTTGGGCTTGTGCGCCGTGGCCACCTAGTATCAAGCACAAGTTTTTAGCCTGTGGTTTGAGCTAAAACCCCAATTACACTATTTTCATCTCTCTTTTTCTTTAGACTAACAGTAAAATTCCAAAAATGACTAGGAAATAATGGACTCAAATAGAAGAATTAAATAGATATATAGAATTAAAATTGTATCTAAATGACAGAAATTTACTGGCAAATATGTACTTTTTTATCATTTCATTCCTAAACTGCGGAAAGATGAGAACACATGATCTCTTCACTACCAAATACTTCATACCAGAGGCTAAGGATGTAATTGAAGTTATTACAGTTCCTATCAGAAATTTCCTGCAAATGAGATACAGAAATCCACAGGTCCTTGATTTTTCTTCTATTCTTCCCTACTCTTCCGAAACAGATCACAAACAGATGTACAATCGAATCATATTTCCACGTTCCTCGTCCTGTTTTTCCTTCTTTCATTGTAGAGTTATTGCCTTGTGTATTATGTGTCAAAATGACTGAAATGAATCAGCAATCTACCAACAAATACTGGCAATGACTATTTAACCTCTCGGGTTGACATGGTAAGGTTTGTCTAAACAATCAAACAAAGCAAAATCACCTAGGTGGCAAACTAACAACAGTAGGCACATCAGCAACACCAGAAGGTGGAGTCTGTGGCCTTGGTGTGACGATAGAAGCCATTCCAAACTCGTCATCAAGCATATCAACCCCATTCCACCCTACAACAGCTGCAATTGTAGTTAAGGAATTAGCATTTCAAGGGAAAAAAAATGTGTTGAAAATAAGATGAGCACTCGAAAAAGGATACAATCTGTCTTCCACATGTCTGTGATGCTAACATCTGCATCTGATAGAAGCCAATAATCTGCATCATTCTGTGACAACAGAAAAAATTGTACATTCAGATAGAATAAAAATATACTATTAGATATAATCAAATATATGTCTAATTGAATTAGGAGAAAATGCACAGCCATATGATTAATAAAACCTTTAACAGGTTAACTGAACAGCAGTGAGTCAGGCACTTTATCTCAGTCACATTGTTGCAACAAATTAAGCCTATTCCAAAAAATATTTGGAATTGATTACATGAATCATTTATCTCCACTCGGTCAGGTCCATCTCTATTTGCACTCACAATCGACTACATAAAACATTTTGGTTCTCAGTTTTATCTTATTCATTCTAGTGTAGTCAATCACACATCTCATTACTTGTATCCTTTCACAAATTTAAAATTGCTTCCCAAGTTCACTTTTATATAAATATTGTGTATATCCACAGCATGTTAAACATTTACATTCAGAACAGCCACACTTACATCAATATTTGAAGGGACAATCTTCGTCATTCCTCCGGCACACTCTTGTAAAGCACCAAAATCAGAGTTTATTCTATGGTCATCTTGGGCTTGAGCTTCAATCTCCTTCCCACTGCTTGCCAACAAGGCTCCTTGTGTTGCGGGATTATCACTTGAACCAAGAGGCAAGCTTGTAGATGGTTCACCACCATTTATCTCTTCAAATTTCTCCTCAAATTGACTTAAGTTTTGGTGGAAGAGGTTTCCAATAAGGGAAAAAAATTACGAAAACAAAAAGATATGAATAAGGGAGGGTGATTAACATGTCAGGGGTCAGGAGAATCAAAAAGGAAATTGTAATAGTACCTAACAAGGTAAACATCAATAGGACCCATTGTGCTTCTGAGTATTATTCTGTATCTCCTTTGTGGGTAATCAACAGCCTATATATGACAAAAAAAAATCTTCATAATCAGAAACATCCACAGTAAAGCTTTCCATTTTCTAGATTTACCTCATCAGGATCTGGAACTTCAAGGGTGGTCCCGTGCGGAGCTTTAATTGCTATCAGGGTTTCATCCTGTCAGTACCAAAGCCTGCGAAGTTAAGCACTATAGAAATCTGTACATAATGAAAGAAAATGTATTTTCCAGAGACATAAATATTCCTCTCTTCTATCAATCATCATGATAATAAAGAATGGTGCTACACATTAAAAAAGGACAAGAAAATTGGACCTTGAAACAAGGCAATCCCTTGATATCGTCTTCAGTCACAAAAAGCCATCTAAAATAGTTACCATTAAAATGTGTATTAGTGAAAAAGGAAATTTGTATTACTCAGTTCAAATAATGCTAGGCAGAATTTTACCTTTGATTATTTTCATCTTCACTCAAATCCCTCAATTTTTCTTGCATTTCTCTGCAACAGCTTGAAAGATCAACATACACATTAATTTGAACAAAGCAGCATGAATTGTTTAACAATACAATGAATCCTTAACCTTGTTTGCTCATCCAGTCCTCTTTCTTCCACGGAAAGGTTTTCAATTTCTGCCTGTAAACAGACGAGAAGAATCATAAAGCTAATTATTTGCATGCAAGTAAATTTAATTTGACTTTTTACATGCAAAAGCCAACCCGACTTTGGCAATGAGGCTTAACTTCATACAAGTAAACTTATAATACAATAAAATTGCAGGTAAAAGGAAAAGAAAAATATCAAGATACATGAATACTTAGGAAAGTCCAAGTTTAATTCTACTCAATGGGCAATATATGGAACAAAATACGTGAAATACATGAGGGTTAGCCTTTCTTCTTCCACGTACCTGCAAAAGAGTACTGTCACTGTCCACTTGTCCAGGTTTTGAAGGATCAAATCCCCTAATGAGTAATGATATGGATCTTCATTAAGCTTCAAATGTCACTATCTTATTGATAATAATATGCTCCGTTGAAAGGTAAAAGCATTATACCAAGGGCGTGATTGAGCCACATTATTTTGAAAGAATGTATTTTGGAATAGAATATTGATGAAGAATGTGTGGTTAAAAAATAAGAAAAAGTTTTAGATTTGCGTGTAATATTATTTTATTGAAGAATTTGTGGTTGAAATGAAGAATGTATTTTTTTGAAAGAATGCGGCTCAAACAGGGCTCAAGTTTTTTCTGTAAATGAAATACAGACTTACTTCCAGTGAATTCTGTTCTTAAGCTTCTTTTCAATGAGACCAATTCCTTCAAGGACATTTGTTATGTCATATATTCGTCTCTTCTGCACCTGTACAACCACACTACAATGAATTTTCTGAATCTGAAAAGACAAATAATCTAGAAATTAAATCACCTGCAAAGTGTCAGCAGCTTTGTTTAAATCGAGAATACCATCTTCTGCATACTTTATCAAATTGATGAATTTCTTTGTTAGAAGACCTGAGAAGCATGGCATATATTTATCACTTGTGCAACTAAAGGTTGATATTTCAAATACCAAATATTAGGTAACAAGATTACTCAAGGAACTATCATAGCGGCAGCTGCCAGCAGGAGTAAGAGTTAAGGGAGTATCTGCAAATACAAAAAATCATCATGTTATATGTTGCTATACAAATGTAACTGTGAATTTATAAATAAAATCTTAATGATCATTCATCAACAACTGCAGATATTTGGACTCAAAATAATACACTTGTAAGCAATTTCTATCAAGAAAATGATCCCATTGCTGTTGATAAATTAACTATGTAACTCACCAACACTGGAAGCAGGAGTTGGAGATGAAGATATATTGTTCTTTGCGACCTTTGACCTGCCAGCTATCTTTCCTCCTTTCCCAGATATAGGTGTAAGGAAGGGACCGCTAGCCGCATCATTGTATGCAGGACTTGCTGTCTTTTCACTAGACTCAAACTTATTGTTTTCAAACCCTTTTTTTCGCTTTAAAGCCTGAGAGACACCAATCAGTTGGACATGGAGTTAGTAAAGGAACCAAGAACAAAATGTCGAAATAAAATACACAAACTTCACGAGGTGCCACTAGGGGAAATATTAAAAGAAAATCAAATAGAACTGGTTTGCAATGCAACTGTCATTTCAATTAACATGGAAATATTGAGTTTTTTATGCACGTGCCACTTATATAACACCACCTCTATATTTGTTAGATATATAGCAATATCCTTAAGGATAACACCACCTCTATATTTGTTAGATACATAGCAATATCCTTAAGGGAGTCCACAAACCGAAATAAACATAAAAGAGAGTTCAACTTCAAGTCACTAGCAGTTGTTTTAAATAAAATGGGAAACAAAAACTTGTGTAAATCTGGAGTAAGAGGTTATGAATTGAAAATTCTAAACAATAATAGCTCTGTCATTGACTGGAATTCAGGCAAGTGATTTCCAGTTGAATTCTCGTTGCCTCAACGCTCTGCCACGTTCCTAGACTTTGGTATTGAATTTTGGAAGGAATGCAATTTCATTTGAGAATTATAGATGTACTATGTTTTGTTCTATATGTAGATATATCTATCAACGTCGTGATTATAAATCTTGCAAAATTTATGCTCAGTAAGTTAAATAATATAAAAATTATAGCTCAAATTTGCCATAAACCTATCTAAAATACGAACAATCATATAGAAATATAGCAATGAAATCACATTCATCCAAGAAATTAATAACAGAATAAAGATAATTACAAAAAGTAAGCAAATTCAGTGAGGAAGAAAGTATAATAGAGAATGAGAACGTACAGGAGACTTGACTACAACAGCATCTGAAGGATGACTTGAGGAGGAGGCGGGAGCTCGACCGGGAGTACAGAAATGGTGGTAGTCATCGTGGGGAGCAAACGGCGGCTTCATGGATTCGAAGGGGAGGTGCCGCCTGATAGCCGTTGGAGGCGTCTGCTGCTGGTAGATGATCTGACCGTTCCCCGCCGCAGCTGGAGGCGTCGGCACCGCTTCGCGAGTCGGGGCTTCTTGTCCGGTCATCTAAACAAGTATCAATTAAATCCAATTGATGATCTATTCAAGGGGTTTAGATTTGTTGAGGGAGGGAAAATGAGGGTTTTGTAATTTTCCACGGTGAAAGTGTGACTGGGAGGAGGAGGAGGAATTTTGGTTCGTATAGATATGGAGGGAAGTGGAGAGAAAATGAGAAAAATGAAACGAATAATTTGGGAGGTTTTCAAGTAGGTCCTTGTATTTATGGAGTTCTTGTACATTTACCTATCAAAGGCCGGTTTTCTTCCATTCTGCTCCAAGTGCTGATTTTATTTTTTATTTTTATTATTATTATTTTTTTGCGTTAACAGTTTAAAAACAGGGATTTCGTTAATTACTAATATTTAAAGCTTTCTACAAAATTAGACATATTTTCGTCTTATTAAAAAATTTATTTTCCTAGGTTAAAACTAGGAATGCACTTTAATTATTGAACATTGTTGCATAATGAAATGAATGTACTTTTAATTTTATTTTCTCCTTTATAAGAACAAAAACAAAAAAACATTCACTCATCTCCTGGAATATACCTGAAAATGTGATGAAAAAAGATGTGGACACATCATTCAAGTTTAAGCAAGTACGAGGTCATGCTTTACAAATATGTTTTCTTGATATTTCAAGAAAGAAACATCGGACTTGTATCAAATTCAATTAGCCATGATTATAAGAAATTATTGGTGAATAGAGTTAAGAAAAAGGTGCAGATGTCATTATAAGATACTATTTCAGCTTACATTTACTTCAGGAAAGCAGTGGATGGGAGTAGAAGTGGCAATGTATCAAAGAAAGCCGACTCGGTTCAGGTCAACACAGGTCAAGCTGTATCCACAAGTCGAAACATCCACAAGCTGGCTGATTTTTCAAAGAAATTAGTAACATGAGCCTGTCCTCGAGCCACTAAGCTCAATCTGTAACTCATCTAAAAACAAGTTTGAATTGTCCATGAATCGAACCGAGACAAGCCGAACCTGGAAATGGCTCAACCTGTTTGCCACCCAGGAGAGGAAGGTACCAATACCAATCTTTGAACTAGGAATCTCAGTTGTGAAAGTAACGGTTCTCAATCAATTGGAACAAAGTGAATTGATCACTACTTGTGCAATTGCAAGTTTGGCAAAAATCACAATTGTGCAACACACACTAGAATTTTCACGGCGATTCATAGCCATATCAAACTATGGAACAATTGCAACTTCATCACGCTTTGATTATTTTTCAACTGCACGTATAAATCCCGCTTTAACTAAATTTTAAGAACTCGAAAGCAACTCCAGCAAAGAACGAGTATCAAGAATAAAGTAATCAAGGATTCGCCGTGAATGCCCTAAGGGCAATGCATTTCTCTATGCTTCCAAGTAATATGTATAGCAGTTCTTGAAAAAGAAAAACGGGGAAAGTAAAGAACCAGACACTTGTTTTAAGGAAAACTGAAAAGATAAATCCAGTATGCCGATAACTGTTGGACTTGCTTAACTGAATATTTCATTCATCTAGCTCATAGAGAACAAACTATCCATGGACCATTTAAAATGTAATACCACACAACTCAATCCTAGATCGAGTACATCACAAAACACGTCCTTTTTTTTGCACAAGTTGTGGAAATCAGTGCCTGGGCATCCCATACATAACCACCAAACAACCAATCCCCGTGCTGAGTTCTCCGGGGTGCTTCCATTTAGTTCTGTAATCAGTGAAGGGAATATGTAAGACAGCTGCCTTGAGACTTAACAAATGGAACAAGGCAAAGACAACAAATGCACACCTCAGCTGCCTTGAGACTTGACCTTGTGTCATAGGGCTCAGTAAGTCGAGGCGTAAGCTTAAAACAAATGACACTAAAGAATCTAAGTTTCGTGCATTTAATAACTTTGATGTCTACAACTTGATTCTTCCCATTACTACAATGATGAATCCATTGAGCAAAAACAGATTGTAATTGTATAACGATCTCTGCCTGACTCCTATGGCCTTTGGTACTTGGTAGAGCGAGAAGTCCATAAACCAAAATATTAAAAAGGTTTGAAACCCTTACTCTATTTATTTTATGTACTTCCTTCTCTATTTGGCCCAATTCAAACAAAATGAGAAAAAGGTCCTGCTTTTGATGCCGCAAGTAGAGAACAATATCGGATCTGTTCTAAACAAGTAGTATTTCGAATCTGTTTGATCAGGAGGATTAGTGTCCTCCCCCTAATGAAATGAAGAAATCTGATTCAATTAATAGTTGTGGAAAGTGGCGAAAGTTGCTTTAAAATGGGATAAGATGCTTAAGTTAACACTAATTCTGTACAACTTCTAACAGGATATCCAGTTTCAAGAACACAAACTCGTAAGAGAATAAATTAAAGACATGGAACGAAATTTATCTGCAATCAGTGGAAATTGAGTAAGAATTTTTTTTGTATAAACAAATGGTGCTATTTATCAAGAAAATTTTCTTTATCTATGGATCATTATCACCAATAATGTTTGCATTTGTACACCACAAGGCAGAGGTCCTCACCGGCATGGAAGAACTACAACACACCTCCAACCTATCCCGGAACCGAGCTTCTGATGATTTCAACATCGTTGGCAATGCTAAACACACACCCTTCTCGACGCACATTTTGTGCCTCGGCTTTATCCTATTCTCTAAGCTAAACGAAAAGTATTGAGGAAACACTACCAATTCCTTCAATTCTCGACCCATTTCAACTACAAAGTAATCGAATTTAGGCTCGAAATTCTCCTTAATACTGTAACAAAACAATGATGGGAACCTCCGAAACATGGTAATGGTATCCTTATAGGAGAAACCTAGCTTCTGCAAGTACTCAATCCGGGGGATGAACTTGGATTCCACTGAGCAGGACAAGAGTGGAGCACACTTGCTTACATCGTCGATGCCAATTGTGCCCTGGAGGAAGTACAACGTGGGCCGGAGTTGGCGGTCGACGCAACATATAAGAAGGCGGGGACGGCGGCGGATGACTTGGCGGAGGTCGATGGCGTCCACGTGGGCCTCCCGGAGAAGAAAAGTAGTGGCGGGAATAATTGTAGTGGACAAAGGGACGGTTAAAATTTCCGGGCACATGGGAAAAATGCGGCGGAGATTCTGTGCGGTCAGGCCCAGGTAGAAAAGGAATTCCACAGTGGATTTCAGCTGCAAAAGGGATGTAGAATGAAGAGACGGATTTGCGTGTAGGCAGTATAAGGAATCTATGCCAAGGGAGTCTAAGTAGAGGAGTTTTTCTTGGATTTGAGAGGATTTGGTGGGAATTGGGGGGGAAGGGGGAGGGGAAATTGATAGGGGGATTTCATTTTTGGGAGGAGGCGAGGGAAAATGTAGGTGTTTGGGACGGAAAATAGAAGGGGAATTAAGAAAGGGGGCGGCGGCAGTGGTGGTGGAGGAGGCGGTGGCGTAGAGGTGGAGTGTTTCTGGCATGGTTAGTACATTTTTAGGCTGAGAGGGAGAAATGAATTTTGCAGTGGAGAATTATCCAGTGGTGGGATGAGATAAGGCGGTGGGTTTTCTGTTATCTGGAAATCCAAGTCGAGGATAAAGGTAGAAGGGTTCCGTTGGACCAATCTTGAAATATCCGAAAGGCCCAACCCAAGTTCTAGAACCCTTTATAACAAGGTAGACAGACACCTGACAAATTCTCATTGAAAGTTATAGAAAATAATAATAATACAAAATGTTGTCAATCGAGGTCTGACATTTCAGCTCTTGAAATGGAGAAATATTTCAGTAGGATGATCGCATCATCCTATAAGAGTGTGTCACCTTGACATTGGACAATCGCATCACGTGATGGTACCATCACCCTACTAAAGTATTTCTCCTTGGAATGGGCTCGGTCATTGAGCCTGTTCATTTGGCTTAATCCTTATTGCAAATGTGCCGAAATAGATAACTTAACTTGAGCCAATATTAGGCGAGGGTTGGACTTGAACCTAATGTGTTGAAATAGATATTTGATCATATGTACATTTTAAGGCAGGTCTTTTAGGATAAGTCGACCGTTAAAAAGCAAAAATTCTTCTAGTGTTATTTTTCTAAGTTTGGTGTGTGGGGATTAGGGTGACTTCGTTGCTTTGTGATTTTCTATGTGCGACGCAAGCTATAATGAAAAATCAAAATTTGACATAAAATTTGTCATTCCCCACAATTGTACTGCCAATTATCCAAATAGTCCCATGACATGGACTCCAGTGGTTCGTTCTTTTTTCCCCTCGATAACCTGCATCCCTCCGGGCATTGATGAACTCACCCTTTATCACTCCATAGATCAAAGACTTTATTCAAGATCTAGCTCGCTCATGAGTCCATGCATGCCATGGCCTTTTGGATATGGCTGGAAAAAGAGGGTAACAAGAAGAATTTTGTTGGTATAATTTTGTGCTAGTGAATAAATTTGCTGATGAAACAATTGTGTCTTAAGGTGCAAGCACGAGGACAGGTATCCAAAGGAAATTCCAATACTGGTTTGCTTGATGAGGTGGTGAGTAGAATGATTAGCCTCAGGCATTTCCACAAAAATCGAATTGAAGTGCTTTGTGGAGTTACCGTGGTCATGAGTCATTTTGTGTACTTTTTATTGACAATATTCTTCAGTATGCTTTTCGACGAAGGAAGGCATCTCACATCCCTAAATTTGATGTTACCATTATTTAGTATTAAATAAGAAAGTGAGTAACATTTCGTTAATAATGAAGTCACATCACCAACAACGTTGTCATGAGAATCACAACAATCTGTCGATAATTACAGATGGAATCAAAATTTGTGATTTCATTCAAAGTAATGATATATTGATTGTCATTAGAATCTTTGACGATTCGCATACACAAAAAAATAATAATAATAATAATTTTACGTTTATCTTTTCACTAGACAAAAGGAAGAATTGGAGCTATATGGCTACCAGCCCAGTCGGCCACTCCATCCCCAACCTATAATAAATGTGAATTTCTCACTTTCATGGAAATATTTTTCAAATAACATTTTTTCTAATTTACAATATTTTTAGAAAAAAATCTTTATTTTTAAAAAAACGTTTTCATGTTGCATCTATGAGGTTGGTTCCAAGGAATTCTTTTAACTAATTGGTTTCAAATACGACCACCATCATTTCATGACATGATGGATACGTTAGACCATGTTTTATTATTTATTAATTAAAACTGAAATTCATAAAGTTGCTTCTAGCAATTCGACGTCTTCACTTTACAATCCTTATAAAAAAAACTCATAAGCAAATTAATAAATATATTATTAATTGCCATAGTTATCTCGTCAGAAAAAGAGTAAACATAAAGTCAACATGATAAAGAAGCTTTTATATACTAAAGGAAAAATCGACACTCCAGACACTTTCTCAGTGGAGAAGAGATAATCGGCAGTCAATGACTACAGAATTATAATTTTGCTTTCTTATTCTTCAGCAAATTTTACAATTATATGATCCATAGAACATTAATTAAAAGCCTTAAAAAAAAAAAAGAAGCATATAAATTATAACATAAATGCGTTAATTATTATAGGAAGAAAAATGAGCCATTTTCTTGATCACACATTGACACTACAGCTCTGTGACAGCTGATACTTGATTGCATTTCCGAGGACAATCCCTCTATTCCGGCTATTTCCGAAGGGTATATACGCCGGACAGGTGACGTGGAGATGGTACTGGTCGGAGATGAAGGACCCAACTCTCCATTTAACACGTCCATTGATCTTGATGATCAGCTCAATGGCTCCGTTGGATTTGTCCAGGCTGAGGGCAACGCCATTGTATGGTGCCACGGGTACACTATTTCCATAAATGAACGGCGACCAGACGTTGAAGTCCTTGTGTCCTTGGTATACCGATGGAATGGCAGTGTAGTAGGTGATTTGCAGGTTGTGGTAGGTGGCGTAGACGTGCATTTTCTCGTAGTAAATGCCGATTCTGGAATTAGGGTTTCGAGAGTTGATGGTGACTTGAATGCTGGTGGAGATGACGCTGGGGGACGAGACGTTGAGGCCGAATATGATGGCGTCTTGGAGGGTAAAATGCGGTTTTTTGGGTTGGAGAATGGCCCAAACTAGGAAGATTATTAATAGGAGGGTGACGGTGAAGATTAGAAGGCCACTGAAACATCGCCGGATTATTATCCGTTGCTCGTCATGGTGATCGGCGCATTTCTCATTCCCCATGATTCTAGTGGTGGTGGTTTGGCACTGGTGGAGGATGTGGTGCTTGAAGGTGGAGCTGAGTCGTTGAGAGGTTAAGGAGTTCTAAGACAAATGGGGAGGGTGTGGTTTTCTATTTATATAGGCTTAGAGTGCAAGGTTGATTATTTTAATTAAATTATTTGTACATAAATGTTTTGACAGATGGTAAAGTGACATGCACCTCAACGTAGGAAACATGGTGGGTTATTTTAGAGTAATTAAACTATTTGTACATAAATATTTTGACGGATGATAAGGACTGAGGTGCGTGCTACTTCAATATTTGTCAAAAAAACCTTACAAATGACATAATTTATTTTAGAGTATGTTTCACCTTTTAAGATGGAAAAGTGCTTGGTAGATTGAGAATGCAAAGACCTGTGGAAAAAATTAAATTTAAAATTTATGTTTAAATAAATAAGTAATTTAAAAATAAACTTGCTCATGATAAGTTACTTGAATTATCTTACTTTTAAGTATATTATTTTAGGCTTGTCAAGTGAAAGTGCTTGTGATGAATCATGACCGTCCGGTGGTGATTGCCCTCTATGATTGGGGTCCACTTATCATGATGGAAGGAACTTGCTATATGATGTTTGGATTATAGGAAAATGTGCATTCTATCCTTATAGAATCTATCAATGGCATAGTTGGGAGTAGATTAAACACGATAACCGAATAAACGATTTACATAATTTTTATTTTGTCTAACACACTGAACATAATTCGAGGGCAGGTCATTTTAAGTTTCAAATGAAAAATTATATACATTCTTCATCATGTAGTTTTCAAGTATCGTATATAGAAAAAGAGGGCTCCGTCTCAAAAGAAGAATAAGATTTCCTAAAGCATCATTAATGGAAAGAAACACAAGTTTGTTCTTATATAAAGAAAATAATATTATTTAATATAACTGGTGCTATAACATTAGTCTAAATGACGCTAAATAATAAGCTCAATTAAAGTGATAGGCTCAATAAAAAATAGAATTAAATGATTTAAAATCGATATTGTTGCTAACACTAAAGTATTCAAAACGATTATAACTCTAAACATTTACAGTAAGCCTTTCACAATTGATAAGAATGCCTGTGTAGTGATGGACACACCAAAATTCTGAATAAGAAGAGAGAGTCACAGAGACTGGCAGCAATTTGATTTTTCTTTATTCTATATGTGGGGGAAAAAAAAAAGCCCACAAAGGGAACTAGTAGTTAGAAAAAAAAATGCATAAAAGGAAAAAGAAAAGTTGGGATAAGGCATCTTGAAATAGTACAAAAGGCGTCTAGGGATACCCACTAAACAAAAGACATGGGTGGCCTTGCATAAAAAACCTGGTGACAGATCCCCAAAAAACAACCTTCTATCTTGCAATTTGGAGCTTATTCCAATCTTCTTTATTACATTTGCAAAAGTCCCTACAACATCAACCTTGGAGTTTGAAACCTCTGAACCAAGTATCACATTGGAGTTAGTCGTGTGTGCATATGTAGTAGTGGGGTAAATCTACTTGTACAACAATTTTTGTTGTACAAGCTTACACCCCTTTCACATGAGGGGGCCAATGTTAATCGTGGGCCCTCCTCATGTGAGGGTGTGTACAACTTGATGTACACTCTTGTGTACAACAATCAAAGCCCTATGTAGAGTAATGTTGTTGATCCTAGATTTTAATCATTATCAAGTTAAAAGATAACGAGCTTTTTACTTTATCGTCTAATACAATAAATTGTATCAAATTCCATTGAAGGCTCACTAACACCTAAACGTATGATGATCATTACTCGTATGTATATATGTCTTCACGTGCAATGATCAATCTTAATCACAACAATTTTTTGTGGGGTGTCTAAATTTCATAAACAACACCTTTTTGAATATTAGGATTAAGATTTTTTATTATTACGAAATGGACAACTAAAAAGTGGAAGACGGAAAAGAGTGAATATCGCACATGCACACTATCCCTCAAATTCTCAGTTTTTCAGTCCTAGTAATTTTTTTGTCGTGGATGTCTTGGAAATTCGATAAAATGACTCATTTCCAAATAAAAGGTTAAAGTTCTTCACAATCTATGAAAAAGACAATTCAAAAGGTGGAAGGGAATCAAGCGCGTGATAAAAAATTTCATTGACGGGAATTTTTTGCGACCAAAAGCATAAAAGTTGAAAAGTTGGGAGAGAGAGAGAGAGAGAGAGATGGAAAATGAAAGAAGGCATCTAGTTAGGAATTGAAATACAAACCATAGGAGGATCCAATGGTGTGTTTTGAGGACTAAAATCATTTAACTTCTTGCTTACATCATTTGGAATAAAGGTTAATAGTGAGAAGTGGAGGATAAGAGAAAGGATGTAAGATACTATATTCTCATAATATGATACACACTAGTCAAGAATTCACAAAGTTCTACATTATATGTACATCAGAAGCGTGGAAAACTACAATAGTCTATAATGTACGAACCAAAATAAGACTACTTATTCCATTTACATCAACCTTTCGAATTGTTATTAATCTCCCAACCGCGTCATAAGATCCTAAAGTTATTGTCTATATATCAACATTTGATTATTTCATCCTATCCATAATGAGATTGCACTACATTACCAACAATTATTTGGTCTCATAATTGTACAGTGAATAAAACCTCCAGAAGAAAAGAGCTTAAAAACCTGTTCTTGCTCAAAAAAGAATAAAATCTACCGTCTTGGATCAACCGATGTCTTCCCTTCAAAAAACTCAGCCAGCATTCTTTCAAGATCTTCTGGACTATATCTGATGTACTTCAGTGGATTTTTTCCACCCTGAATTAAAGGCCTAAGCATATATAAGATTCAACAAATTCGTCAATTATCACGAAAGTCAATAGTTGGGGTGGGGTGTTATCGAGTCTTAAGAAAGTGTACCCATAACGTTTTATGAAAGACCTATAAGCAGGCAACAGGACCTCTGCAACTGCCAGCCTCAACGACTCGCGTAATTCAGTATCAGGAACGGTCCATTGAGACTGCCTCTGATGAAGCTCCTCAAATTGAATGTTGAAGGTTTTGAACCTGTCTTTAATCATTGCCCGGGATACGTTAGTAGTGCTGCCACCATCTCCAAATGAACCGCTTCCACCCTGAAGTCCCTGAATGGAGAGACACTGCAAAATCTGCAAATCATAACCAAGAGTGAGTCATTCCCAATGTTCAAAGACAGACTATGCAATATAATTAAAAATGATATTCAAAGATTATCAGATCCATCTCAACTTTCAAGATCGAATTTGGTTAACAAAGTGAAGGAAAAACTAAAGAGGTCGTTTGGTCACTGATGTGTTTCCTGTATTTTGTTTTTGCTCTTATAATTTGACAAACAAGAAAAGGAATACACATCTAATTCCCTGTTTTTACATATGTTTATATGAAACAGAAACATGAAAAGCTCCAAAGAGAGAGTAACAAATTAAAGGTATTTTGCTACTTTAAAAGATGACCAACCCCCCATAGGTTATATTCATTAATGTGGTTTAATTATCATATTACATCCACATCAACTATCTTCCTCCCCTTCACCCTCTAAAGCATTGCCCACCTGTCTACCTATTGAGCGCACGTCAAAATTTTGACACTGCACTACACTGTTAACAACTCTATCGCTACTCCATTTGCAAAAAAAACACGACAAACGACTATTGCAACAATAGCATCAACAAAGTTGTGAAATGAGAAGATGAACAAAGAGACATAGATAACAAAGATTTACACAGAATGAGAACGGATACTGAAAAAGGAAGAGATAAGGGTATTACAAAGTCTAAACTTTTCCATTAAATACAGCTAATTGCAATTGAAAGGTTTTAGGATTTAGCCGATATCTTGGAGGAAAAGGGGAAAGTGTTTGAAGCCTCCATTCTGTTATTCCACCATTAATCATTCCTTGTAGTTCTCTCTCTCATTTTTCCCATTCTTTTGGATTATTGGTGTTGGGAAGAATGCTATAGTTTTTTAAACAAGTAACCAGATTTAATATGAATTATCTGCGATACGTACATCGTAAACTTTTCCTTCCATTCTTGGGAAATGAAAAAATCAGCTTAATTCATGTTGTTCTGTTTTAAATTAAATATGTGAGAACCTAATTTCACGAGCTATATCAATAAAGAAGAGTTGTACAGATATGCATTTCATTAACCATAACAAAGATGATGTGTCCTGAGCAAGCAAAAAAAGGTACTGCAAGTACATCAAACCTTAGACCATGAAATCCTCTTATATTGATTTGCATGCTGCTGGACAACTCTTCTGTGTATCTGCACCCAGTCATCACCTAACAGGTCCTTTGCCTCTGACCTAGATGGCAACATTCCATAAATTGGTCACTTTTCACTAGTTTGTTACACAGAGACAGTGGACTAAGTGCATTTTTTATTAGTATTAGATAGGACTGGACAATATATTGAAACTACTTTTAGGTTCTCTTTCTTCCTCAGTGTTTCCAGTGCTACCCAATACTTCCCACCAAACATGCCAAGAAAGCGTGACATACTTGCGCACAGATCTAACGATATAGTGTATATTGTTCATCAGAAACAGTTGAGTTAAAGCAGGATCTTTGTATTGCTTAGATTTCCCATCTAGGTTATTTTGGAGAGCCTGCATTATCCGAGTTGTTATAGATGCCAACTGTTCATCTTCATCACCATCATTGTACTCATTGAAAAGTTGCTTCAAAGTCAATTGATAGCTGAAATTATCAACACCAACAGTAAGAACATTACAGGCTTAAAACGTAAACATGCATAAGCAGTCAGATAACAAAAATATAATAATAGTAAAAAATGCTTGTAAAATGAAAAATAATGAAGAAATTTGGTTGGTGTACAAGTAAAATCAGCAGAAACTAAAGCCTGCAGAAGATGTATAAACTAGATAAATTGGAAACATAATTTGCTAAAACATTTTTGTAGTACTAATTATTAGAATAGAAATTTATAATTCTATATTTTCATTGTATGTACAAGTAAATTCTAAATACTAACTACTCAAAGTATTGAAATATCATTTGTAAATGTT